TCGAGAAAAGCAGGCCCAATTGGCACTGGTGAGGTAAATTTGAGATCTGAAAAAGCATACACAGGCCTCTGGTGGATTCGCAAAAACTAAAACAATTCTCCTGGGAAGTATTTGGCACTCTCCAGGAATGTATATAGGGGTACGTTTTCAGTATGAGCCTGGGTTGAATAATTCACAATATTATCTTTTGTGTAAAACATCCTGATGAATGGTGATAAAAAAAAGTGTTACACTTTAGTTTAATAACAATTCACACTATTTACTACTGGTTAATTGCCTGTCTATTATTAGAATATTAATGGTTTATTAGCACTTGTAATGTTGTAAAGTCTCTCTCACCAACATTCTGGGTCGCAGGAATTATTAAAACTTGTATTTACAAGAATCTTACTACTAAAATGACATATAACATCAGAATAACGATCAGGAATGATGTTTGAGAGCAGACAATGGACTAACTAAACACAGGGATATAAATAAACAGGACATAATTGAACTGATAACAAAACAGGGGAGGAACATGTGAAACTGACTAGTGGCGGTAAAACAGAACAAAAGAGCACATGATCACAACAGAAGCACATGGAAAAAAACAGGAGCACATGGAACAGACTGGGAAGTCACATAACACAAACACAGAAATACTGGAACACGACACAGAACCTGACATGTAAAGTATGCTCTTATTTGACATCCCTAATCTTACCCGATACCTAAACCTACTAACTATTAATAGTTTATTAATCTAACAGTCATAATAAATGTGTTGTTAATAGCATGAACTGTACATTAAAATAAAGCATGACCCACCTCAAACCGTTTTAATATAGTTTTGATTGATTCAGACACATAAAAGCTGCAGCAATCTTCAACCTAAAGTCTTTAACCTTGCAGTGAAATGCCAGCCTAATGTTGGCCGTTTGGTTTCCACTGGTAACAAGACAATTTAAAAAGCAGTCTGAACCTGTCAACACCACAGCATTTGAAGCCATGCTGGCTGGATTATTAGCGCAGCGTTGTGCGTCACAGATTCTGCACACAAGCTATACAGTGTATAGCTTTTAAATAACAAGCATCTTAAGCGAAATAATATCCTATTACATATTTTCTCAACTATATTATACACACAATGCACAAACTTGGATAGTCGAGAATATTAAACAGCCCCCGAAAGAAGCATAAAGTGTTGAGCAAATATAATTGTGCAGTCAGCAATACGGCACTAAGATTAATAAGGGTGAGTCGACTGCGCAGGGCCCATTAAAGAAAGGTCCCCTGTGCACTTTCTCATTCTGATTCCAGGAAATAAAGTTAACAAGCACTTAGACGCCTTCACAGCCTCTATATAGACACCTCAACGCTTTAATAGTTCCTACAACATCATTAAGGATCAGTTCAATAAAACCTTTTCTGCCCGTCAGGGTCTAACCAGGGACTTCAGTCTACGGCTGCACAATACTGTTATTTTATGGTATTTTTGATATAAAACAGTATTATTTTATCAGTATTCAGGTGCAGACATTGAATAACAACATAAAATACCACTACATAGACTTCATCATATGAATATGAATTAAACACAGTTAACTCATTTAATTATAAATGTTTTTTAAAGGTCACCTACGATGAAAATCAGCTCTTGTAAGCTGTTTGGGCAGAACTGCCTGTATAGTGTGTATGTTTAGTGTGTCCACTGTCATAGTGTTAATAGTCATAAGCATAGTAATAAAAACCCAACAAGTCTCTTTTTTAAATTTCCTGATGTTAAAATAGGATCCAAATCCCAGTGATTCTGAGGTCCACTGCAATGTGAAGTATGGTTTTCCCCGCCCACCGAATTGATTGACAGGCACCATGTTTCTATAATATGTATACACGTACACAGACCTTTTTTTGCAAATGAACTGAGATTAAAATATTTGCCACAACTCTCTGTGATTTTTTAAAAGTTTAAAACGTGTTTGAAACGGAGCATGTTTGTAATAAAAAATTACTACGTATTCTTAACCACAATAATCACCTAGGCCACTTGGTGTCAGTAAATGCTAATATGTCTGTGTGTGTGCGTGTACTGCAAACAGCATTTGTGTGTGACTCATCTTTTCAGAAAGGCTTGAATAAACTCCACCCCAACTACATCAAATAAACTTACTTGATATTTTAACTACTGAGCTGTGTTTCAGTTTTATCCAAGTCTGTCTCTATCACTGACGGCTGTATCTGATGAAATGCATGATGAGAAGCAGACGCATGTGAGAAAAGTAGGCGGGTAGAAGCAGCTTATTTGCATTCAAAGCCAAAGGCTACAAAAACAGCTACATTGTACTCAGACACCAAAATGGGCAGATTTGGAGGCTATAATAAATAATCTGATGGATATTTTGAGCTGAAACTTTACAGACACATTCTGAAGACACCAAAGACTTCTTTTACATCTTGTAAAAGTAGTAAAATACAGTAACTGCCCTTTGATTAATTTTTTTAATTTTAATAAACTTTTTCAAATTCATATTTGTATCTTATTGTGACAAGTGGGTAAAAAAAAGTTAATCTTAGGTAAAGCTGTAATCATATAATCCTGTTATAATATATAAATATATATATATATATATATATATATATATATATATATATATATATATATATATATATATATATATATATATATATATATATATATATATATTCTGTCCTTTAGTTGATGTATTATATGGGAAACCTATTGTAGCTTTTTACTATTAAAATAAACAAATGGCTCAAATTAGACTTTAATTTATTCATTTTCCTTTGGCCTAGTCCCTTAATTATAAGGGTTGCAACAGTGGAATGAACCACTAACTATTCAGGCATATGATTGACACAGTTGATGCCCTTCCAGCTGCAACCCAGTATTGGGAAATACCTATACATTCTCATATTCACACACACCCATACACTACGGCCAATGTAGTTCATCCAATTCACCTATAGCGCATGTCTTTGGACAGTGGGGGAAACTGGAGCACCCGGAGGAAACCCACACCAACATGTAAATTAGCAGTTTCCCATATTTTGAGATTCGTGTTTTTATTTTTCCACATTTATCTATGATTTCAACTGCATTATGGGACCTTGATCTTTCTTCCAACAACATTTAAATTTAATGTAGCCAGCATCTAAAGACAACAGTATTTTGATGTCCAATAACAACGAAAAATTACATTGATATTTGGTTGTGTTAGAAAGTGACTAAAATCTAACGTCTAAAAGAAGTCATAGTAATAACGTCAACACAATGTAATGTATAACATGATAAGACGTTGATATTTGGTTGATTTTAGGTTGATTTTTAAGTTCTGACATCAACCAGATTCTAATTTCCAAACAAAATCCAAAGTTGGGGTACAACGTCAATATGACGTCATGTTGACATCCTGTGCCTGCAAGGGTGTTGTATATCCTCCTAAAACTCCACCCATTGACTTGTTTCCTCTGTAGTGGACATTGCGTTTTCATTAATATTTTTGGAATTTTTTGAGCTACTTCAGAGGACATCCTGGGCTTTCTAGTGATAAGTCATTTGATTGGCTGGCATGCTAGGAACCACTTCTTACACTGCATCCAAAATTGCAGACATACAAAAAAAGCACATTTTATGGGAAAGAGAGAAGCATGTTAAATTGAGCATTTTAAATGTTTTTATCTTATTTTATTATCAAATTTATATTTGTTTATTAAAGTGTCAGGACAATAAATTTAGCTTTCAAAGCTGTTAACTTGTTTGTGTTTCAAAATATCATCCTTTTTAAAATATCCACTATAGTGGACACCAGGATTATCTTAATGAAATTAATGACTGTTGTAGGGGGCAGAACTGAAGCAGAGAGGATTCTTTATAAGATAGTTGAGGGAGATTCTGAATTAGAGTCTGACAATTAGAGAATGAAAATAATATTTAAATCACTTTTATATTAAATTTGTTTTGGATTAAAATTATTATTATTATTTTTAAGTTCAGCTCTCTTTCAGACTAAACTGTTTCAGGAATTTCAATACAAGAGGAAAAAATGTCTTTTGTTTTTGTTACACTAATATTAGATTAATATCCTTTTACAGCCATCTCCTGTACAGTTTTGTTGTCTGAGTGGCGATCGTTTCAAACTAAAATGGTCCTGTAGTCCACTACACTGGACATGCTGTAAAATTAAAAACAAAAACAAAATGTAAAAACTCTAAATTGTAGAATTTCTTTTTAACCCAAAGGATGTAGGAAATCACAGAAAAAAAGAAGAATTTTTTTTTCGGGTCTCAGTACAAACACTAATCACCATCTAGATTTCTGTTATTTTACAGACTTGTTTCTCTGCATATTATTTCCTATACATCATAATATTTCAAACAAGCTAATTGTCAATAAAAGTCCCTTTGTTAAACTGTAGAGTTGAATTTTCAACATTAAAAGTCGACAGAGCAGAGATCAAGCTCCCATAATACAATTCACAACATTAAACAAACTCTTGTGAATTAAAGAAATACGCAATCTGTGTTTTAATGTGGTGTTAATGAATAATGTGCAGTGAAGAGCAGAGTTTGGATTTTCCTATACTGTTTGCGTTTGCCAAGTAAAATGTGCATCCCTAAAATGCCCCCTGTCAGCACTGCCTGGTCAACAAATTCCCACAAGTGTAAATGACAAGATTTCACAAGACATTACAAATATCTTCCAATGTGACTATTGCAGATGTGTACATATACCAATGACTCAGAAACAACATATTGTGCAGCCCAATCAGTCCATTCTCATTAAACAGCTATTTGTTGCTTCCCTTTTAGATCTATTAATATCCTTAATTAGCGTCTCCCAAAGAGTCCCTCCACCGCAGATTGAACCACCTAGGCATCACTTCATGCCTACATTCTCTTCAGCTAGCATAATGTTTGTGTTTGGTAAGTGTTAAAAACTCGAGGCCTCTATATAAGCAGACTCCTCAATGTCCACCAGCCACATTCGACTTCGCTTTTATCTCTACAGCATCTCTTTTTGTACACTATTTCTCTATCTCTCTCTCTTAATCTTTCAAAAGCAAAAAAATAAATAAATCGCCCTCACTATGGCGGATGCTAAATCACCTCAATATTGTCAAGATGTTTCCTGGATCCCCCTGAGCTGCCGGTGGCCCAGTGTAATCTTTAACCAACATTTCGGCATGCCTCCGTTATTGGAGCCCCGAGACCTCAGCTGGATGGAGGACATCTTTAGGAGGCTGGGAACGTCGTCCTGGCCCGGGTATGTGCGCTCTGGTTTTCTCGCCCCGCTCCTCCAGGCCTCTGGACCGGCCGTCTTCTCGAAGCCGCACCGGGAGTTGAGTGGAGGAGTGTCGGAAGTGGCCGCTGAGACGTGCAGGTGGAAAATTAGTTTGGATGTCAATCACTTCGCTCCCGCGGAGATCAGCGTCAAAATACAACATGGCTTTTTGGAAATTGCAGGTATGAAAGAGGGTCGGTTAAAGAAGGTACACTGAAGAAAATGATGGTGAATTGGATTTACAACATTTTTAAGATAGCCTAAGTGGTTACAAACAATTTATATGGGCTGCATTTGAACAAATTAAGCTTATTAACTTCAATTTGTTTAACTTCAGCCTGTATAAATTGCTTGCAACTGTTTAGCTTAAAGTATTTAGTAAATCCAATTAGTATTGTTTTCAATGTCATTTGCTCATTTAAATGATACTTTTATTATTATTAACAATGCTTGAACAATAACAGAAAGGCATTAATACTTTTAACATTTCACAAAAGACTGAGATAACAATCAGTTTACATTCACAATCTTTCCATCCACATTATTAATTATAACTAAATTACATAATGGGGTATATGCTGACGGACTTTTAATTTCAGCCAGCCAGCCTTAGCTCTTCCGGTAAACTGTCTTTCCATTATAAAACTGCTTCATTTAAAGGTTCAGGACAACCCGGAGAACTTTTTTTTTTATATATTAATAGATGTGTGTGTGTTGAGCATCAGTTAAGAAAATGTTAGCACCTGTCAGCTTTAATTGTGGGGAAAACTGGATAATTTTGAGCTTTTGTCAGCTAATTTCAGCTTTTGGTTTTAAAATGATTTTTGGGGCGGGATCAAAATCGGCGACGTAGCGCAGTACTGCAAGTGCAATGATGACGCGTCGGTTTCTCATTATTATTCATAGCGGAGTTTTCTTATCCTATGAGAAGAGCCGGCTGCTTAATTATTCATGAGACCTGCCAGACCTGCCAGTGTCAAGCCCGAGCTGAGAGACACGGAAACCACGGCACAGTATTTAGCTGTTCATGAAGGCTCATATGCGTTTGTTTCCATCATCTACGTGGTTTGTTGCATGTTTTCCCCCGCGATCTTGTCAGGGCGATCATACACTGTGTGCGTGCTGCTAGCATTTTTGTCGAGAGAGCAGCACGAGAATTAGAGAAAAGCGGACGCTGTCTTTTATCAGGAGTTCGTTCACATTCAGACACATCGCCGTGCTGCTGTGTTTGCCTAAATCCTCTAGATTACCAGCAGGGTTAATGGTTAAAATAGACAGGTCAGGAGACCTGCTGCACTGAGTCTGCTGGATACGGGGATTGAGGGAGAAGTCCTCATTTATAGTGTTTACATGAACACACTTATCTTTATAATGATATAAATTGTGGTTGTCTGTATATGAAATTACGAATAACAAATGTAGCAGGGCATTAAATCACTGTTCATTTCTTTGCATTTTAACTTTGTAAACTATAAACTCATGCGTCTCCTCTTTGTGTCTCATTTTGTGAGCTAACTGACAACAGCAGTTATTCGCTCCCCTTCTCCCCTGCTGGCCACGCCCACTCCTGCCCGATGCTCGCGGAGCTCCACGCCCATTAATCATGCATCTTTTGAAAAAATTCTGAAGTAGACTTTAACCGAAAGAGGGGGGTGTCATGGCCCTTTAACCGAAAGAGGGGGTGTCATGGCCCTTTAAGGTCTGATTTCTTCAAAAATCAGTGATCTTCAATGTCTGATAGATATACTACATAAAGTGGCTCTCAGACTAGACAAGAAGCACTGCATTCAACTAAATGTATGCTTAAGTCTATTTAACTGAAGGTATTGTAATTATATTACAACACAAATGCTGTAAAAGCAACCTTCTGAAATTGAAAATAGTCACATTAATCTTTCACCGGAAGTTATCATTGGCTGAAAAACACTAGCTGTGCATATTTCCCATTGAATAAATAGGCTACAATAACTAAAATATTAAATGATAAAGAAAAATAAGTAGCAGGGGAGTAGAAACCCCTGAAATATGAAACTAAAATTCTCTATTAAAGTATATAAATATCTTGCTTTTTGACTTATCATCTCTCCTAATATCATCAACTGTAAATTATGCAATTAAACTGGATATTGGCCAAGGATGAAATGTGCCATTTTGGAGTTTGTATCAAATAAAAAAATACAAAAGTGGTCTTATTTACATAGAAAACATATTAATCGCAAGTGTTTCAAATAACATTTGTAAAAATAAAATGTCCGAAGTATACATTTAAAGTCATAGAATGAATAAACATAATAGTTTTAATAACTCATTGCTAATAACTGATTTCTTTTCTCTGTCATAATGACAGTTTGTATTATGTTACTAGATATTTTTCAAGCTTAAAGGGCTTATCTAGGTTTATTAGGCAAGTTAGGGTAATCAGGCAAGTCATTGTATAACAATGTTTGTTTCTGTAGCCAATGGAAGAAAAAATATTGCTTGAAGGGGCTAATATTATTCACCTAAAATGGTTAAAAAAATATATAAACTGTGTGTGTGTGTGTGTGTGTGTGTGTGTGTGTGTGTGTGTGTGTGTGTGTGTGTGTGTGTATATATATATATATATATATATATATATATATATATATATATATATATATATATATTTGTGAAATGATTCAGAGTACATTCAGAGATAATTTAAGTAAAATTAAATTAAAAATTAAATTATAAAAAATTAAAATTATAAAATTAAAATGAATTATTAATTAAAATTAAAATTATAATTATAAAAAATTTAATTATAAAATTAACCAAAATCAGTTTCACCTATATTGATTCAAAGAATTAATTAATAAGTGACCATATAAAATAGTTTATACGTGCAAAATTTTATGTACAATTGGGTTAAAAATAGTGGTTTAAATAGTAGCAAAGAAGACTTATAATGACATTTAATTAGTAATTTGGAACTGCACTGTTACCCTTAAATAGTATCTTTTAATAAAATGTCTGGGGAAACTTCAACAGTACACATTTTAATGTGCCAACTTATTTAGTAATCTTGTCAAATTATAAAAGTGCAAATCTTTCATGACACATTTTAATTATTAAACAAACATGATAATTACTAAAATAGAAAATATCATAGGTATTTAAATTGATGTAATCTCTTAAATGACACAATATAATTAGTCTACAAAACAGAATAAGCAAGCCAGATGTTAGATTTTGGAAAATTTATTCAATCATTGACACCTTAATACATTTGTGCTAACATCTTTCATTACAGGAAAGCATGAGGAAAGACAAGACGGGCATGGCTTCATTGCTAGAAGTTTCACAAGAAAATACAAGTATGTTTTTACATGTACTGTAAAGTCTTTTATGCTTATCTATTAAGGCTGCATTGGTTTGATTAAAAACATACGGCCATGACCATGGCCATGACTTTTTCTGGGTTCAGCAAGCAGAATGATTTTTGCTGACAAATCTCATTTTGACACATATTTTGCGAAAATGCTTTGAATTAAAACAAAAATCCTCAACAATAGACTCTGGGCAAATTTACTTATCTTTTGTTATGTTAGGGATGAAAACATCCATTGAATTAAAACCGCTGTAAAAATGCATCAGATAAATATTTTCTTTTCCAATTGTATTTGCATAAATCTGTTTTCCCCTCTTTGGAAGAAGTAACATTTGTCATTTTCACTGTTGATCATCAGTTGGCACTATTAAGCCTTTAGATATGTGCAGAAAAAAAAATCTTACTTTGATATGTCTGAGAAAATCAAAATATGCATCTCAGAACTACATGGAGCAAACAAAAACAAAGACTGTGTATTTATGCACCATCAAATGTGGTCATAATAGAAGCCAATGGGGCAAAAACAGCCACTAACAGTAAATTAGACAGAAAAAAATTAAAATCTAACAATGCATCAAAGCCAATGTTGTTACAAATCATTCACATGTTTAAAACTATGATAAAAGTTTAAAAACAAATCTAGTCCACAATTACTCTTTATATTGAAAATCTGTCAATTTGTATTTTTTTACCAAATCAGTGACATCATTTGTGAACTTGGCAATTAAAGAGTTAAAATCCTGTATTTTTTAAAACCTAGTAGTTTTGATGAGGAATCAGGGTTGATTAACAGATTTATGCAAAAAAGAAAAAGAAAAAACTATTAATCTGATGCATTTTTACAGCAATTTAATTCAGTGGATGTTTTCATCCCTAACTCAACAAAAGGGTAGTCAATTTGAACAGTGCACAAGGATTAAATTCAAATGGAATTATTGTTTTTAAAGTACATTTATATGCTTTCATATACAGTTGAAGTCGGAAGATTTTTTCAACACATTTCTAAACATGATAGTTTTAATAACTCGTTTCTAATAACTGATTTATTTTATCTTTGCCATGATGACAATAAATAATATTTGACTAGATATTTTTCAAGACACTAGTATTCAGCTTAAAGTGACATTTAAAGGCTTAACTAGGTTAAATAGGCAGGTTAGGGTAATTTGGCAAGTTATTGTATAACAATGGTTTGTGTAGACTATTGGGAAAAATATAGCTTAAAGTGGCTAATATATTTGTCCTTAAAATGGAGTTTAAAAAATTAAGAACTGCTTTTTTTTCTAGCTAAAATAAAACAAGTAAGACTTTCTCCAGAAGAAAAAATATTATCAGACATACTGTGAAAAATTTCTTGCTATGTTAAACATCATTTGGGAAATATTTTAAAAAGTAAAAAACATTCAAAGGGGAGCTAATAATTCTGACTTCAACTGTATTTATATGAATTATATTATAAATGAATCATATATTCTAAAAGTCATTCATCCATACGGTGGTGAATTTCCAATTATTATTAGTCTAACTGTTCATTATTTTCAGCATTTTTTATTCTAATTGTCTTATATTTTTTATCCTAATGTCACTTTTGAGTAGCTTGTTATATTAGTACAAAGTATATCCTATTTTACAGATTATAATCATATCTATAGTAAACAATAGTCACAGACTTGATATACAAGTAATGTTCTCATCACAGTCTTCCAGGTGGCATTGAAGTTGAAAACCTCCAGACAAGTCTGTCCGCTGATGGGATTCTTACAGTGGAAGCACCCTTTCCCAGCATCCCCCTTCCTGCTGATGTCATCATCCCTATCCAGGTACTGACTACTCCTGGCAGCTGTTTAACCCGAATACTCAAACTTCTTTACTTACTGAAGCTCAAAATTAGGCACTTAGTGTTCAGAACGGCATCCATTGCAGTAGTTTATAAGTTCTTCAATGTGTCACCATTATATTTAAGTGGTCCTTTCTGTCATTCACAGCGAAATGGCACCATTATTATTATTATTATTGAAAAACACTAGCCATACATTTTCCTCTCCCTAATTGGTCTTGTATAAGAGCTTGACATCACTGGTGAAGTAAGTGTCTGCAATATTACCCAGTCTGATGGTGAAAGTCTGACAGCTGTTTGCGTTTGGAGGAAAAACTAGGGTGACTTCTTAAAACCTATTATTTCAGTCAATTCGTTGTATAGTATTGCATAGGATGTGGTCATTTAGATGAATTTGTCCAGCCATATGTTGTCTTTATCAACTTAAAAGAACATTCCACTTTTGAGGGGGTAAATAGGCTAATTTACAAATCCCCTTTACAAGTGAACAGTTAAGTTTTAACATTTTCGAATCTATTCAGCCAATCGCCAGCACTTTTAGCTAAGCTTAGATCATTGAAACGGATTAGACCATTAGCATCTTGTTAATGTTTCATAATTTTCCTATTTAAAAGCTCAAGTCTTCTGTAGTTTTTTCAAGGAGTTAAAAATGAAAAGGAGCTATTTTCTAGGCTGATATGGTTTGGAACTAAACTCTCATTTATCAAGCAACTTTGTTGCCGTACTGCAGCAATGATATTAATGCATTGATACTGCATAATGACATTGTTCAATGCCCGAAAATAGTCCCTGACTTAGATAATTTGGTTATACTGATGGAAGCTTGCTGATTTTCAGGCGCATGCTGCGTATGACAAGAAAGTTCCTTCATTATTTCGCCAGAATGAGAGTATACAGTAGTTCCTGGTTATATCAGCCTAAATATAGCAACATGTCATTTTCCGGTCGGTCTTAGTACATGAGTAAATTAAGTACAACCCCAAATCAGAAAAAGTTGGGATAGTATGGAAAACACAAATAAAAAAAGAAAGAATTGATTTCTAAATTTACTTTAGCTTGTGTTTAAGACATTAGAACAAACATTTTTAATGTGTTCCTCATGATTTTTAATGATTTCAGAATAAATTTAGTTTTTTTGCAGCACATTTTCAAAACAGTTGGAACAGTAAAGCATTTACCACTTTGTAATGTTGCCATTCCTTTTCACAACACTTAAAAGACGTCTAGGGACAGAAGACAAGTGATGAAGTGTTTCACGTTTGATTTAGTCTTAAAGTGAGCAACAGTACGGTGTCCAAAATTTCGATGTACTTTTCAGCATTAATGGTGCCATCACAGAAGTGAATATTACTTTTGCCAAGGGCACTGACACAACCCTATACCATGACAATCACTTCTTTCTTTTTTTCTTTGCGTCTTCCATAATTTTCTAACCTTTTCTGATTTGGGGTTGTAACTACAGAAGAGTCAAGCTTTACAGACACCCTAGAGTACTTTTTTTGAGATTTTGACAGAATTGTGGGTGTTGAGCATCATTTAAGACAACGTTAGCACCTGTCAGCTTTAATTGTGGAGAAAACTGGATATTTGAAACTTTTTGTCAGCTATTTTTATCTTTCAGGTTTTAAAATAATTTTTGGAACGGGATCAAAATTGGTGGCGTAGCGCGAATCTGCTAGTGGAGTGTTGACATGTCGGTTTCTCATTATTCTGAGTTTTCTTATCCTATGAGAAGAGCCATCTCAGAGCATTTTTTGAAAAAAAATTGAGAATTTAGATAGACTTGAACTGAAAGAGGGGGGTTTCACTACCCTTTAAATTGGAAAATTATCAAAACTCTTGTAATGTTTGAGCGAGATGCTAATGATCTAATCTGAATGACTGAATGATGTTAAGTTAAACTCTGGGAGATTGGCTGAATGAATTCCGAAATGGTACAACTCAACTGTTTAACTCTATTTTCCTATTTTCTATTTTTTTTTAAGCCTATTTTCTAAAAAGTGTAGTTTGTGTTCCTTTAAGGCAGCTTTCGGCACTTTTAAGCTTTGCCATCATAAAAAATGCTGTAAAAACAACATGTTTTTTTCATTAGAGCAGAAATAATTAGAGGTATATGATTCAACAATGCCCTATAAACGTCAAATGCCGAAGTCCAAGTCAGTTTATAAATTAATCACCGCGCAATTCCAATTACCAGGCTCATAATTGTTCTAATAACCAACAAAGAGATGAAACGCGAGCTCATATTTTCCTAAGGGCAACGTTTGGCCTTTCTTCACAACCCGGAAAATTAATCATTTTTGTGTACAGTGACCCTGGCATTTTAGGGTCCTGATGTGGCATTTAAGGCTCTTGACTTAATTTGAAAATTGTTTTACATTTACTACAGGTGGAGTCAGGAGCGCAAACCATTGCAGGAAAGCAACAAGACGGTGACAAGCCTCAAGACGACATTAAACCGGAATCATTTGATGGAAAAACACCTGAATCCTCAGTCTCGGCTGGGCATCCAGATGCTGGAAAGGTCACCGAAAGAGACCAGCAGACTGTATCTGATGTAGATCCTTCCAGAGAAGCACAACCCCAGTCCATTGCAGAAGCTGCATCTGGTTTCTCTGTGTCTGGCAGAGAGCAGGTCGGCGAACCCCTGGCTGGCAGAGAGAAGGATAAAGAAGGCAGATTTCAAGAGACGGTCGAGGGCATCCAGCGAGACGGAGAGTCTGCAGACAAGCCTCTGGCTCCAGAGACTCCAGACACCATCACCTCCGAGCAAGCAGAGGTCATCCAGCTTGGGGATCTGGAGGGGGAAGAAGGATGTACAGGCCCTGCTGTGATGAGAGAGGAGCAATCAACCTTCGGGCAAAGCCAGGAGCTAATCAACCCTCAACTGGTGCTCCAAAAGAAAATTGATGCAGGAAAAATGTAGGTTCCCAGAAAAAAAAAAAAGCTACATCCCAAGCTTTATCCTTAGGGTATGTCATTAATCTGGATACATGTGAAAATGGCATTTCACCGTTTGTGCACGCTGGCATTTTCAAACTTTACCCAAAAGTTTCTCATCCACGTAGAAATGCATTGTTTTTTTATGCAACATAAGATGGATGTGTTTGACCAACAGAATCTCATAACTATTTTATGTTTTGATGACAGAAATTGATTTAAACAATCTAATTTGCGCACTTCTATAAGACCTGCACACACTAAAGTGAGCAGTTGTGTTCTTTGGCATGGATGAAGCAGGCATTCGTGCTTGTTTTTTTATAAAAATTCATAGTTAGTAGCATTTTTTTCTAGAAGATCCAGCTCTTTTGATCATGCTCTTGCATCTTTTGCTGTCTTTCATGCAAGGCATGTTCTGAAAACGTGCAGCTCAATTTAAAAGTCCCACTTCTAAATTGATACATCTCATGAATTATTATTATTATTATTCATTATTTGACTTATTTTAACTCATCTTTGCAGGAATGTTGTATAAAGAATGTATATAAAGTATCTTCTTTATCAACACTGTGAAAGAGACAGTCAAGCATGCAATATGCATCATATTGACCTTATTCTTCAATGTGGAAGTGCGTTCGTTTTTGTGATTGTTTCAAAACTTCCGCTTTAGTCGCCTATGGAAAAAATGACTAGGAATAATAAACAGCAGAAAATGGTCAAACTACTTGCTCTACAAACAAGTGTTAGCAAGACTATAGAGACAAAGTAGATTAAGATAATACGAAAATATAAGTTTGCAACATCCAACAGCAGAACGAGCTGGTTTTAACCTCTAAAAATGAATGGAAGTGAACGAGACCCGAAGTCTCGAGCCAAAAAGATTCAATTTGCTGCGCCCCCTCATACCTGAAGAATAAGGTGAATAGTTTGCAAATATCTCAGTTTTACAATATTAGAATGCCAATTTCGTCTTAAACTAAAGAACTAAAACACACTGCAAAAGCGATTAGTTGCTTTAATTAACAAATTAACAATTGTGTAAACCCGTTATCTTAAAAATGACAAGTTGCTTGGAACTGTTACATTGACTTAATTTTGAAACTTATACACCTAATTATATATGCACAATTTTAAGGCAACAGGTTTACCACTTCGAATGTTATCATTCTATTGAATGGGCATTATCAGTGGTTATCAGCTGATAGATATGGACCTTCTTTGCCTACTGGAGTGCTGTTGTCCATCCACATGGTTAATCAGCTGTAGTACGCAAGTACGCAAGCTGGCCTTGGGGTGGTAGCTTTTCAAAAGGTAAACATTTGTACTTAAAGGGGCCATATTGGTACCTCAAAAGTAAATATTAGTAACTAAAAATGTAAAAGGAACACTTTTGTACTTTTTAAGTACTAATATGTACCCTTGAGGTATTACTACGGACCTTTTAGGTACATATTTGTACCTTTTAAAAAGGTACCACCTCAAGGACAGCTTGCGTACCTTTATTTCTGAGAGCGTTGAGAAGACTCCAGATCCAGATTTGTTTTTACATAACAGTGACAGCTGGGTTTAGAGTCGGGGTCGGGGTAGACATAAATAAAAAACAATTAATTAGAAATTTGATGAATAATATAAATAATTAACTTTTTTAAATGTGATCTGTAGCTGATTAATCATGTGGATGGATATTAACAGCCTTCTGAGCCAATCAGTAGGCGCAGAAAATCCCCACTGGTCCATATCTATCAGATGATAACGCCCATTTAATGGAGTAATAACATTCGAATCAGTTGGATTTACTCATTTTTTGAAAGGAAGGTCAAATAATCATGATATATATGCACTTTCAATTGTATCCAGATTAAATATGCCTTAATTCCCACTTATGTTTTTTGAGTTTACTGTAACACGCACCCTCTTAGCACTAATAAAGACCTGAGCAAGATTGTGTGAATCTTCTTCTTGTGTTTTACAACAGCAAGAGTGATTAATCAGGGAAAGCTGAGAAATGCTTTATCTTAGGCGACAGATCCAATCTGACACCTAAATGAACTTGTGCTTACAGAGAAATTTCATTCATATTCTTGTCGGCTTAGTGCCTTTATTAATCAGGGGTTGCCACAGCGGAATGATCCGCCAACTTTTCCAGCAAATGTTTTACACAGTGGATGCCCTTCCAGCTGCAACCCATTACTGGGCCAATTTATCTTACCTAATATTCACCTGTACTGCATGTCTTTGGACTGTGGGGGAAACCAGAGCACCTGGAGGAAACCCATGCAAACACAGGGAGAACATGCAAACTCCACACAGAAATGCTAACTGACTCAGCTAAGTCTCAAACCAGCGACCTTCTTGCTGTGAGGCGACAGCGCTACCCACTATGCCACTGCACCGCCCACAGATAAAGTTATATGAATCTTTTATGCAGTGTATATCCTCAGTTACCGCCTCCCTTGAGTTCTGGTAAATATCGTGTAATTCTCATCTAACTCGGATGGTTATGATGCCAACGCCTCTTGAGCACGGTTATGTTCTCGATTCATTAACCTCGAACCCTGAAAATTATCCAACGAGAGAGCACAGATCGATTTGACGAGAAAAAATCCAATGGGCAAACATATCAGTTAATCAGCACTGGAGTGCCGTTTTCCTCAATATTTTCTCTCCACATCCTTGTCGAGGAGATTGAAAGCGAGCCAAAGCGTTGCGAATAATCTCCACGCTAATCTGTCACCCAATTAAAGCCACCGCGCGGAGAAAACTCCTATAAGCACACAGCCAATCTGCCAGGCGAACGCCCAGATGTGATGGAGGACGGAGGATTGCGGGACGATGCTCGAGTTGCTTCTCCAACGACATCAGGAGGTTATATAAGTGGGCTCAGCAAACAGGTGTAAAGCCGCAGAGCTAATAACATCCGCTATTTCTGCAATACGGTGTATTTAGAGATTTGCAGATATAGGAGCCGTGACTAAAAGGTTTGCTTTCTTAAATCTTATTTATTATAAAAATGCATAGCATACATCCTTACACAAAAGGAAAGAAATCACACAAATATGAAAAAAGGAGACAACAAAACCCTTGAAAAGGAGTTCAAAGCATTAAGGCCCAGTTTTCAGAGAAGGCCTTCATATAAATAGTCCACCGTGACAAATTTACAAACAGAAACTCCAACTGAACTCAGGGCCATTACAAGTTTTGGTTCAAATGAGGGACAGAAAGTCTAAAACATACTTTACACAAAGACGTCAACAGAAAGAGTAGCTATTGACGCTTGAATGTAACTCATTATTCTTCTCTGCAACATGCTGCACCCAAAAATTGCTTGTTCAAGCTACTTATTTAAAATAAGCTGAAACAACACAATTGAGTTTTTTGGGGTCAACCTAACAGTGTTTTGTTTAATCCACTTGAATTTGTAAAATCTATTAAGCTAATTTAATTCCTTCGTGTTGTCCCTACACAAATCGATTGTGTGGAACCCAACATTTATTACAGTGTGCATTCCCAGTATCATCTTCTACTTAACTAGATCGAAACAATGGAGAAACTTTTGATCTTAAAGCTGCGTTGTGTAAAAAAATGAACTTGATTATTGTGTAAGCACATACACTGTACAAAAGTGACTAGTTACTTAAAGTGTCTAAGCCTTTTGTAACAGTTAAGTTGACTTAATTTTTATAATTGTGCACAGTTCATTGACTTGGCAACCGTGTTGGGGAGTAACTAGTTACATGTAATGGCGTTAAATAATTTAACTACAAAATAAAAGTAACAGTAATTCATTACAATTCATTAAAATGTGTAATCCAATAAGTTACTTGAAAATGCTAAAGATAACAAATGGGGTTACATCTAAATATATTCTTAAAAGTCTGGGATATGTTGAATAATATTAATCTGTTGCTTTATCTGTTTTTAATATGCACGATGCCTTTTGCTAAAGCAATTTATTGAAGCGGTGCTATTCTGCTATAACTACATTTCTCAGGAGCATGGCGTAGCGTCGCTACTTTCTAAATCAAATAGCTTTTCAGTAGCAAATCTATTTTTTTTTTGTCTAGTAGCGCATGTGGCGTCAACACAAGCTACATTTACAGATTGCCGATCAATAAGTGACGGCACCGACATTCACGGAGCTCTGAGGCCAGTGATTAAACGATGAAAGTAAATCCATACGACGGCGAGACTGATGGATTTTGTCCTGTTTTTCGGTGGTCGACAACAAACTTTTTGATGCATTACTGCCACCTCTCACTTTGGTCGGTGACATCGCCAACCAAGGCAGATGGAAAGATGGAAAGATGACTGAGGCAGAGGAGGTCTATATATATTTAATTTTATATATATATATATATATATATATATATATATATATATATATATATATATATATATATATATATATATATAGTTTACAGTAGTAAAGACCGAAGTATATTATGGTGATTACTGATAGTTACTAATGATACTTCATTATGTAGTGTAATTTATTAATGAAGAATTGTGTGTGTGTGTGTTTATATATATATATATATATATATATTTTTTTTTTTTTTTTTTTTTTTTTTTTAAACAAGAGTAAACTTTTTTTTTGGTATAAGGTCTGGTTTTGTGGTACTTTAAAAGTAAATTGTACTTTAAAAGTAAATTAATATAATCTTGATTCAAGTGATGAAAGATTTTGATATTCTAAAAGTAAACAGAGTTATTGTAAGGTCCCACCTGCTTGGTATAAATGCTTGAAAATGATTTAGTTGAAAATATCCATTAGAATATTAAAAGTAATCAAAAAGTAATAAGATGTAATCAGTTACTTTACTTTTATAAAGTAATTAAATGTACATTAATTAAAATATACTTATTGCATTTTAAATAGGGTAATTTGTAATGTGTAATCTATTACAGTTCCAAAGTAACCTCCCCAACACTGCTTGCAATGAGTTTACTCGTTTTATTTAATTAAAGTCAACCAATCGCTTTAAAAGAAATGGGTTTATTTGCTTTTTAAAAGTAAAGTGAACTAATCCCTTTTTATCCCAATGTTCAAAACTGTCTAGTTTACTTACAGTAAACTTAAAATAAAGATTCATAATTTGAGTATGGTCCAGTTTTGGACGAAACATTAGTTTGACATCATTTATCATGTCTAGGCCCACACAGAACCTCTTGAGTTCATCACTGAGTCTATTTATTTAGTTTGAAAGGTAAAATGTAAGTATAAAAGACATTTATTCAGCTTTTAAAATAACTGCAGTAATAATATTGACAAATATGAAAATGTTTATATGATTTATTTACAATACAGTCTCTAAAGTAATGTTTTCTGTCGTTTAGTAGATATATTATATGATAGACTTGCTTTGTTTAACAGTTAAGGGAATCTAATTGGATTTGCATTGTAAACATAACTAAAAGCTAAAAGGTATCACTTTTACATTTATTAAGTTTTTAGTTATGATGCTCCCAAAATCTTTTTTATTCTGCTGAAGGGCATTTCAGTGGCTCAGTCAGGCAGCTAGCTAACATTATTGCACTCGAGAGTCAGTAGCTGAGTTTTCATAACCATTTTAATGTACAATTTGAAGAATCGCATTAGAAATGAATGATGGAAAGGGCAAATTTAAAATAAAAATCTCTAAATTCACAAACATTTTTACTCTCCCTTGAGGTAGATTTGGATTTGCGTGACAAATCATTATTAAGAAAAATAGATGGAAACACATCTGCTGAATAAACTCTGATATAGCAAAAATTATACCCACATCACCAATCAGATCTCTCCATTAGCCTTGCTATGTTTACTATTGGTTACTTGATTATTAGATTAATTAATTTATTTATTAGTTTGTTTGCAGATTATGAAAAGGTTCACTTCACTTTAGGATGGGAACTCAGCTAGTGAGATAAAATGCACTTTTTCTGCTATGAGTCAAAGCTATCTTGATCGGTGATCTAATCTGACTGAAAACAAAATGACTTAAATGTCAGTAACATCATTTATTTTAAAACATTTATGGTTTCATTTGTTCAGAACAGAAGTGGAGGCGCCTAGTAGGACAAACTTCAATTGTGTTGATGTACAATGACAGATCTGTTTACACCTGAAGCGTTTTAGTAGATCAATCACAAGTAGTCAAGTAAAGCACATTCCTATTTACATCTTCCGATTAAATGAAAGATTTTGAAGAATATTGGGACCAGCAGCTACTAACAACCATTTTTCTTTCTCTGGATGTCAATGACCTGCAGTTTCACACATTCCCATGAAGGGTTTTCATTTTCAGGTGAATACCTTTAAGTTAATACGAGACACTACAATATTGATCATGTGTACTTGTCATCAACGTATTTGTATAGAGTATGTTTATAGCTTATTTAGCTTCTATAGACTTTCATTTTGCACACTTCCCTTGTCACTTGATTATTAGCTCTATCACATTAACTTATTTTCATTGATGTTGTATTTGACCCAACCAGATACAGTAGAGTAACTTTTGATGATTTATGGACTATTTGCTTTCAGATTAATGACTTTTTGATTTAAGTATATGTTTGAAACTGTTAAACCTAGATTGTAGCACGGGCTTGGAACAAATAAGAGTTGCGCAATCTCCCGTTCACTCCCTGGCCTCAAAGGTTGTGGTTGAAGTCATGCTGGGCTCCTGAGGTCTGGCCTCAGGTTCTTCCATTGATTCTGCTGGCATTTCATTGCTGTAGAGGTAGTACGGAGGGGTTTGTCGGGCTTCAATGATGAGAACCCCTTCAGGGGAAAGAGAGGCAAACACAGTGACAGGGTCCACATCCAATGGGATTCTGCAAAAGAAAAGAAAGTAAAAATATAAATGTAAAAAAGAGGTTTTGCAAAATGTGATGCCCTAGACAAACTATTTTGGGTATAACAAGCATACTTTAAGTGAACAGTTTCTAAAAAATTATTTAACCAAGGTTATCTATTATATTATAATAAAGAATTGGAAAAAATCTTGAAGAATCACTCTAGTTTATTGAATCTTTCCTAAAGGCAACTTAAAGTGAATGGATTTTGGCAAACAAAAGTGGTAAAATTCATAATTTTACAACATTTGCATAACATTTTTTGACAGCTAAAAACTGCATTAACAGCTTTTGTGCTGTATTTGAACAATCTAACCACATGGACTAAAGTGCATGGTGGAGATGCACCTTTACTATCTTTACTGTAAAATATACAGTTACTTTCACAATGCAACTTTAAAATACAGTCACATACTACAGTTAAATACTATGTAAATTACAAAAATCTTTAACTGTGTAAGGTGTATTTCTACCCTTAAAAAATAAGGAAACTGTGGTAAATGACGTCCTGGGACTCTAAACGCCCAAGGCATGCATTTAAGAGTTCATAATACCGACTAGACCTGAACATAACCCAGGCTAATTGAAGTCCAACTCAAGTCTAAAGTTAATATTAACCCGTAATCGTGGGAACGGCACACACTATTCTTTCACCCTTGGTGCACTCTCATTTTGGTTTAATTTTTCGACAAACTTCATTTTCTGCGTGCCAGCTTGTGGCTAGAAGATAATTCTCAATGCATTTCGCAGTTTTCATTTAAATGTTCTGCCTGCCATCACTCGCAATGAGAGAAAGAGCGAGCGGGAGAGAGAGTCCTGCTCCAGGTGCTGGGCACAGAAATAGAGTCTGTTGCCAATTATTACAAATCGCCTCCTGATGCAAAGTTTATCACCAGAAATTTCCATCTACACACTAGTCTAATCATCCAGCAGGCAGACTGACTGCAGCCGCTTTAATGAGAGCAGTTCTCACTGTCTGTTTCAATGTGCTGCCTCCAAGGCTGGATTACCATAAATTCATATCTGCTCTTCAGAGAAAGGGTGGAACTTGTTTTGAACGTGAATGAACGGTGAAATCATACAAAGCCTCTTCCTGCTGGTCTTCTGTTGCATAAGTGTGAAACTGAGGGGGGATTTTGGAGCTGCTTTAGAGATTTGAGACGCGAACACAATGTTATAAATAATTGTGCATGATATGGTAAATGAGAAAATAAATACATTCATACTATCAGCAACAGATTAATCAAGCCCAATCTATCCTTACATATAATCATTTGCATAGAAAGCAATTCTGCACCATGCAATTAAAGTGAAGTAGATAAAAATAAAAATAAAATGAAAACAAAATTAAATAAAAAATAAATTAAATTAAATGAAAAGAAAATAAAAGAACAAAAATATAATTAAATAAACATGGAAATTTATAAAAATGAACTGAAAAAAATGAAATTAAAAAAATGAAATTAAAAATAAATAAAAACAAATAAAAATGATAATAAAAACAAAAATATATATAAATAAAAATAAAATAAAAAACATAAAATGAAAATAAAAATATAAATACATAAACATGAAATAAACAATAAAATAAAATAAAAAATATAAAAATGAAATAAATAATTAAAATAAAATAAAATAAAGTAAAAAATTTTTAATTAAATGAAAATTAAATAAAATAAAATTTAAATATAAATAAAAAATAAATTTTAAATTAAATTAAATTAAATTAAAATAAAATAAAAATATAAATAAATAAACATAAAAATTAATAAAATGAACTTAAATGAAATTAAAATAAAATAAAAAATAATACTAAAATAAACAATAATAAAAAATTTAATTTAAAACAAAATAGAATAAAAATTAAATGAAAATAAAAATAAATAAAAAGGGAAATGCAAATAAAATAAAAATATAAATAAACAAAATTAAATAAAAGTTAAATAAAATAAAATAAATTAAAATAATAAAAAAAAAATTACAAGCAAAGTTAAATATACCGGATCAACTATAAAAATTAAATAAATAATGACTTTCTAGGGAGACAAACAGAATTTAGCATTTTGCTCATTACTGTTTGTTGTGATGTGTCTATATAGATACTAAAACAATATTTTGTTCAGCCCTAATTTTCTCTTTTTGAATATATTACAACAAGTCACTCATGGGAAAACCCCTGAAGTGTAACTGAGGGTGATTTACAAAACTTATATGACTTAAAAAAAAAAAAAAAAGTATAACTTAATCAATTTCAATGAAGTTACCATATACAGTATAGTTCTTTGCCCACCAGAGGGTTAAAATGTCATTCATTTCTGTGATGCAAAGCAAGATACACAAGATTCCTCAAGAGAACATTTTAGATCGACTTCTAATTCTAATCCATTTAATTTTTCACTAAGAGCTTTAAAAATTCCACCTAGTAAGGTATAGCCCACTACTGTTTAGAAGAGATCTACCCTACAGTTTTCTTTTATTCTGTACATTGGGGGAGTGATTGTGTAAGCACGCATAGAACACATACACAGAGACAGAGAGAGAGAAGGAGTCTGTGCTTTGTCAGCTGTCATGGCCAAATAAGGCTGGAATGCTTCACACTTGTTGCCAAGCTTCTGCAGAGTTTATATAAACCTTAGCATGCAGTCGACTTCAGTGGCCTGACACTATTCAATTAACACAGCAATGCGAAAGCCGTCTTGCAATGTGACTCACAGATTACAGCGCCGCTACTGAAGAGACTGAGACATTATTCCAGACTCAAATCAATCAATCAATCAATTAATTGATAAAAAGGGTTCATTATTCAGAATGTTGATATTCCTCAAGGTTACAATTATATTAAGTGTTCTATGATTATTCAAATGACTCAAAAAGTTGTTTATTTATTTATTTATTTATAATTGTGTGTTTTTGTTTTGATTTGATACAGAACTAAAATAAGTTATTTATGTATGCATATGTATAAACAAATTTATTTATTTATTTATTTATTTATTTATTTATTTATTTATTTGTTTATTTATTTATTTGTTTATATTCCCAAATAATTTATTTTATTATTAAAAATAAAATTAACAATTTATGAATATATATAAATAAATCAAAATTAATACAATAATTTTTTGTTTTTATTATTTTTAATTTAAGAGCTATTCTACATCTTACACATTTTAATACAACATTTCAGACGATGAAAAACTTTATGAAGTAACTTTTAATCAATTACACTTTATTATCACCATTAAACTGCCAGTATGTATCTACTTGATGTTTTTTAAGGAAGGTTTCAAAAATAAAAATTCTGTTTTTATTTACCCTTTATTTATTATTCACCTTTAACTTGTATCAAACCATTATGACTTTCTTTTTTCTGGTGAGCACAAAAAAACACCCTGTAACCATTGACTTCCATTGTATTGGGTGCACTCACACTAGGTTATCTGAACCGTGTCCGGGTGCGTTTGATCCCCATTTCCCGGTTCATTTGACAAGTGTGAGTGCAGTTTGGTAGCTCTGGGTTGGAAGAGGTGGTCCAGAGCGTAGTTCAGTTAGACTTTGTCACTTGTATAGTTTTGAATAGGGAAAAGTGTAATAGTCAATATGGCGAATGAAGCCCCGCCTACTAGTACAGGAGCCAATCAACAATCGCTATAGACTGACGTTTTATGGGGCAAAGCTCAGACCAGATGTGTGCTTTCACGACAATTTGGTGGTCAACAAATGCACTGGAATCTTAGCGAATAATTGCTTTACAGACATAAAAAATATATCCACTTAAAGCTTGAAATCTCTTTATTTAAATGAAATAAAGTGCACTTGAAACTAAAGATTTTTTGGTTTTGTAATCTGTATATACAGCAATTACTCAAACACCCACAAACTTGTCATTTCTGGAGGAGATTCGCCATTAAGACCAAGCTGTGGATTACTTCAGAAGAGCAGCGCGATCAGACAATCATTATCCAGAGCATGTTAATGTGTAAAACATTACACATTCAGACAGAATGCCTTAGCATACTGCCCGAGAGGTGTTTCAAAAATGGCCAGCGAGTGAAATGACTTGCCCTAAAGCAGGCATGACCAACCCTGTTCCTGGAGATCGACCTTCCTGCAGATTTCAGTTGCAACCCATATCAAACACACCTGCCTGTATTTATCAAGTGCTGTTCAGGTACTAATTAATTGGTTTAGGTGTGTGTGATCAGGGTTGGAGGTGAACTTTGCAGGAAGGTAGATCTCCTGGAACAGGGTTGAGCACCACAGCCCTAAAGAAACTTTGGCGCACCTGAGAGGGAAACTGAAGACGCAAGGTCACTTTTAAGGGACTGTTTCATATGGGTTTATTACTCATTCTTACTTTTTAATGGATTTGAACTGTCAGAGTTAATTAAAGATAAAAACCCCCTGCTCCACATCAGTTGGCATCTTCATCAAGTCTAATACCTGCAGCAGGAAGATATTTTCGAGCGTCAAAAGTGGTAGATCTGTTCAGCTAAATATTTGACTGTGTGTCACTGCATCCCAAATGCCTTACAATAATGCAAAACAATGTAACTACAGCAGTCCGAGCGAGAGTGCCTCTCTTCCTAACTGAAAAGTCGCATCATTGATGACGCGAAAAGAGAGGGGAGGGGGGACAATCGCACCCAGGCCCGGTTCAAGGCAATCTTGCCAAGTTTTTGTGCACCCTTATTTTTTTCTGTGGAAGTCAATGGTTGCAGGTTTTCAGCTTTTGCAAAACATCTTCTTTAGTGTTCAACAGAAGAAAAAAAAAATGTAAAAGGTTCGAAACAAGTTAAGGCTGACTAAATAATTACAGAATTTAAATATCAAGATGAACTATCTCCTTAAACGCACAAAGACTTTGTTATAAGATGATTGTATTACAGATTTTTGGGTTATTTTTTTTTTCCAATCATCTTAAATTACTTTATAATACGACTTCTTAAACAAATTTAACAACTGAGTAAATAGTGAGTAAATATTCATTTTGGGGTGACCTGTCCTTTTAATTAATTAGTGTCTCTTTTAGGATACTTCAATTACACTTTATTATCACAGTTTCAGGGTCAATAAGCTGTACTTGCTCTTTTTGAAAGGTGGCTCAAAAAAATTAACATTCTGTCATTATTTACTCACCATTAACTTGTATCAAACCCTTTTGGGTTTCTTTCTTCTAGTGAACACAACATTTTGTGTTTGTGATATTTTGAAAAATGTTGGAAACCTGTAACCATTGACTTCCGTTGTATTAGTGTTTCCAGTTGAAGTCAATGGTTGCAGTTTTCAGCTCTCAAAATATCTTTTTTAGTATTCATTCATTTTCTTGTCGGCTTAGTCCCTTTATTAATCTAGGGTTGCCACAGCGGAATGAACCGCCAACTTATCCAGCGGGTTTTTATGCAGCGGATGCCCTTCTAGGTGCAACCCATCTCTGGGAAACATCCACAAACACTCACTCACACACACTCATACACAACAGACAATTTAGCCTACACAATTCACCTGTACCGCATGTCTTTGGGCTGTGGGGGAAACCGGAGCACCAGCGACCTAGCGACCTTTTTGCTGTGAGGCAACAGCACAACCTACTGTGCCACTGCTTTGCCCCACTTTAGTATTCAACAGAAGATAAAAGGTTTGAAGCAGGTAAAGGCTGACTTAATAATGACAGAATTTAAATATCTGGGTGAACTATCTTTAAATGCACAATGAATGTAAGATGATTGTATTACAGACTTCTTGGGGTTATTTATTTTTTTACATTTTTAATCATCTAAAATTTCTTTATTATACAACTTAGTATACAAATTATACAACTGAGTAAACAGTGAGTAAATATTCATTTTGGGATGACCCATCCCTTTATTTGGTGTTTTAAATAGTGTCTCTTTTAAAAAAAGAATAAAAGGATAAAAAAAAAAATAAAGTGTAACTTCTCAATGAAGTTTAAATCCTCTACGACCTGAAACTTTTAACGTTGGTGCTATATCCTGCATGTTAGAGTACTAAAACTGTTCAATAATTAAACTTCTTTCTTAGACGTCTCTTTCTCTCTCTGTGTGTATCTTTATCAAAGCACCAGCCTGGTGACAAAAATACTAATAAAAAGGAAACAAAATCAAATCACTATGTCGCTTTAATTACTGCAGACATCAGAGGTGCCTGATATGTTGTCTGAGTCTAGCAAGAGTCTTTCCTATTTTATCTCATTCTTTATTCTCTTCCTCCAGTTTGACTGTGTGAAGTGCAAGAAGAAAGCGAGAGGTCGGGCGGTGGAGGAGCGCCAGTGCTTTGTGCTGCTTTAATAACTCCGGCTGACATTCCTCTGGAAGTTGCTTTATCATTCTAGAAGCTTCCAGATCAGAAGCCCATGGAAACTTTTGATACGATCATTATTACTCACTGAATTTTCTTTGTGAAGTTTTTGGTAACAATTCCTCCCTCGTCTTGCTTTTCCTCATGTTTCCCTGGGGAGAAATAAAACTCGGATGTTAAAATCAGACAGGTGATCTATAAAACTATGAAGTGATTATGACATGTATGTAAAGAATTGGAATGGGATAAAAAAAATAAATCGCTTTCGAAATGTTTAATACAGCAACACTATATGGGTTGTTGACGTGACGTTGCATTTTCACTGTTACACATAACAAATATAAATATAATTAGTATTGTCATCATTTAAAATGTCGTAAATGGTTAATAATTACATTTTACAATTGTAATGAGAGCCAACAACTCCACAAAAATTGACATTTCAAAATATGCAAAAACCTTTAAGCGCCATCTGAAATATTCTTCCAAAATGAAAAATTTTTTGCAGGCTTGTTGCATGCTGGGATTCAGTAACTTCGCCTTTATGGCAAAGAGTAGGTTATTTTCATTGATTTCAACATGAAATAACTGAAAATAAACATAAAAGACAGAGAAAAATGACTTAAAGGTTTTTGCATTTGAACTCTTCATTTACATTTTTGAGCCAAATCTCTTAATTTAATTTAATTTAATTTAATTTAATTTAATTTAATTTAATTTAATTTAATTTAATTTAATTTAATTTAATTTAATTTAATTTATAATTGCTTTATCGGCATGACAAATGTTATAAAAGGTTATGTGTATTTATATAGCGCATTTATAATGTACAAATGTTATTACTAATAAATTGCCAAAGCATTTATAAAGTTTAAATTAAAAAGAACATGCATATATATATATTTATTTAAAAACAAAACCATCCCCCACCCAAAAAACAATAAATGGCAAATAATTTTATCCATATATTTTTAAAAAAAAAAAGAAACACAGTAATTTAATACATTTGATTTAACATTACACTTAACCTTTAATAGATTTTTTTTTTATGTTTACATATTTTGGAACCACTACAAACTGTTGCAATCTGTTGAAAATGTACAACAAGCTATGGAGAGAAACATTTTTTTTATATATAAAACTATATGAAGATACAGTAAGTGTCCAGATAAATCACTCTTGTATTCATATATTATATGAGTTGTTTTTCTTCATGTTATGTCCCACCATATAGTTTTTTAATGATACAGTCCAGTAAAAAGTAAAAAAAATTAAAAAACACTGAAAAAAATGCTAAAGTTAGTGACTTCTTATATTTTCACAAATGTCAAACCTTAAATAACATAAATATAACTATTATTTCTTCATAAATGGTATTTCGTCAACTACCCTACTGTAAAAGATGTAGGGTTTTACACAATTCTTACATGTTGTCCCAACACAAATTGATTAAGTTAACAAATTTAAGTTGAACAGACCCCCCCCCAATCTTAAGAATTGTGTTGTTTCAGCTCATTTTAAATAAGTAGCTTGAACAAGCAGCACAAATCTGTTTATATCCAGATACACTGAAGTGAATCCAAGCTTATAAAAAAATTTTATGTTTAGAACAGAAGTGTAACCTTTCCCACACTGATATTAAATTAGACCCCAGCAGGTTTATAGTCTCATGCAACTCACTATATACGATTTTGTGCCATTTCCATTCAAGAAGGCCTGGTTAAAAGCCTCTTGGCCTCAATCACCACAGCTGTTGGTCACTAAATGCCAGTCATGCCATGCTGTGGCCAACATATCTACAATAAGCAGCTCTTTAGACTTTAGAGAACACTGTGAGCACAAACCCGTCTGACTGAACTTTCTGCTGTAAATACACTCATAATATGCACTTTTAACAGCCACTATAATGGTAGACTTCACAGTTTAAAATGTTCTTGGACGCAATTTGTACATATAAATACAGTTTTATTAAACAGTTATATCCATAAATTAAAAAAAAGAGTTTGTTTACCTATCGTCTTTAGGAATAGAAAGATATTACATTTAAATTGTAACAAGTTATCGGAACAACGACAAAGAAAAAATACAAGCTACAAAATTTCAACTAAATCATATATTCTTTATGTTTCTCTTTATTAAAATGTTATTTAATATTTTCCCTTAACACGTTAAATTGAATGTACTTATTTTTGTTAGGTTAGTTTCAGTTTTGGCTTTGGTACTGGCTAATCTAATGTACAGTTGAAGTCAAAATTGTTAGCACTGTGAATTTTTAAAAATCAGTCAAACAGGGCTGGGCGATTTGGCCTAAAATCTAAATCTTGATTGATTAATTATTTTGACTTGATTACGAATAATTAACAAATATTTAAATGATTGTTTTTTCTCTAATAGTTCACGAACATGTTTTGTACAGTAAATATGCTTATATAATACAAGTGAGAGATTTTTAATAAAGGGCACATTACTTGATTTTAAAATAATTAAAGGAAACACACACTACTATCTATGATTAATTATTGAACATCAATGTTGAACAACTAAAACTATAACACACACTTCCTAAATCCAACAGTCACTTTTTTCTTATAATAATGTAACATTAAATAACTTTTGGAAACAAAAAAAAATGTCAATGTAGTATCTCTTCTACATAAAAACACTCTTGTGTATCCTGTAAATAATATTTTAAACAGTGCATTTCTTGCATCTTCTGTAAACAGATGTTTTCATTTAAATGATCATTTTGATGTAATGGAAAATATGGGTGTTTCAAGGCATCTCTGGCACAGCTTGCAATCATCGTCAATGGAGTGCAAAGTAACACATAAGTAACACACATCGCAGGGTCACGTGACTCCACACACGGTGAGGTAAGTAATTGGAAAAATTGACTTGGAATAATTTGATTGATTATTGGTTCGGAATGTGGATTTCAATTACTTTTGGATTAATTGCCAAGCCCTACTTTAAATATTTCCCAAATTATGTTTTACAGAGCAAGGACTTTCTCGCAGTATTTTCTATAATATTTTTTCTTTTGGAGAAAGTGTTTGTTTGTTTTTTCAGACAGAATAAAAGCAGATTTTAGTTTTTAAAAACCATTTTAAGTTTACTATTATCAGCCTAATTATAGTTAAGCCTTAAGAGGTCCTTTAAAATGAATACTAATGTCTTGAATAAATATCTAGTCAAATGTTATTTACTGTAATCATGGCAAAGATAAAATAAACCAGTTATTAGAAATGAATTATTATGTTGGCTTGAGAAAGCCAACATACTGTAATGCTACTTAAACTTATTCTTATTATTATTATTATTATTATTATTATTCCGGCTTCTGACCAAAAAAAAGCAATCGCTTCTCCTCCCAGGGCTTAGATGCTACAAGCCCCAAATTTGGTCAAAAGCTGTCTATTGCCCATGAGATGGTTGCTGTATGTCCTCATGTCGATAAGATTTGTAGTTTTTGAAATAAAAATTTTTTTAATTAAAAAATTGTAAATATTACAATCGAGTATTTGGGGCTTATAAAAAAGTATACAATCCTCAAATTTGGCCAAAAGATGTGCTTTAAATTGAAGATAATTATCATATTTATTTGGTGTAATTATAAATAACAGTTTTCCTATAAATATTTTTTTTATATTAAATTTGTTAATTTCAAACCTAAAGCTTGTCAGAGTGTCCACGAGATGGCGCCAGAGAACCATTTTTGAGCCCTTTGTAATTTAGTAATGGCCCTTTAAGAGGCGGAGATATCCGGGCTGACTGTTTTTGCTCTACAGAAAGTTCGGCTCATTTCAGACGTGCTTGTTACAACATTTGAAGCTGTTTACATTAAAATTTCTCAGCGAAAATACACAAATACAAGTGATACAACTCTATTTAGTGTTCCTTTAAGAGGCAGAGAGATCGGTGATCAAAATCGAGGTGAGGTTGAACTTAATTCTGGTCATCAGTCATTCATATTATGCTCGGGGTGAACTCCATAAAGCGTAATAAAACTGATCTGGATGCAGAATCATCCGCGTCGGAATCGACCCGCATGCATTTCTGTCTGCTACCCTGTGAGTTTTAAATACATGCCTCTGATGTTGGCAGAAACATAACTTTACTTCGGATATTTCTTTCAAAACAGAATATTCTGTGCCGTGAAAAGCCTTCTCCTCTACTTGTGATAATGAAAATGAAAGCCAAGGAACATTCACGTATATTATACAATAAACATAATTAATATAAAATCATTCTAACTTTATTTTTAATCCTTATTTTAACCCTCTAAAAACAGCTATGTCCTTGCCACAAAACTAATAATCCATCTTCAAAACCTACAATTTCTTTCCATTCGGTCCGGTCGGACCTGAACGTCTTTATACCGTTGTAATCACGTGTAAATTCTAACAAAGACAATGTTTGCACTTTGTAAATCACATTTTATTTATTGTGCAAAAATAAATCCAAACAGCATCATAACCAATAAAAACACACAGCAAAGAAAATGTATTTTAAAATAGTGAATATATATACATACAATGTATGAAGATTTTTTATATCCCCTTAATATGCTCTGCTGTTGCTGCATCAATTTCTCTCTGTAACATCTGGATTGCAATTTACACTGCAATGTTCACAATTTATTATTATGGGGGGGAAATCCAAACAGTATTATAATGTTTTAAAGCAAAAATGTTAAGAACAATTATTTACAAACAGTGAAAATAAAGTGTGTGTATATACATATATATACATACAGTTGAAGTCAGAATTATTAGCTCCCCTGTTTATTTTTTGCCCAATTTCTGTTTAATGGAGGGAAGATTGTTTCAGCACATTTCTGAGCATAATAGTTTTAATAACTCATTTCTAATAACTTCTTTATTTTATCTTTGCCATGATGACAGTAAATAATATTTGACTTGATATTTTTCAAGACACTTCTATACAGCTTAAAGTGACATTTAAAGGCTTAACTAGGTTAATAAGGTGAACTAGGCAGGTTAGGGTAATTAGGCAAGTTATTGTATAACGATGGTTTGTTCTGTAGATTATCAAAAAAAAATTGCTTAAAGGGGCAAATAATTGTGTCCCAAAAATAGTTTTTAAATAATTAATAACTGCTTTTATTCTAGCCGAAATAAAACAAATAAGACTTTCTCAAGAAGAAAAAATATTATCAGACATACAGTGAAAATTTCCTTGCTCTGTTAAACATCATTTAGGAAATATTTAAAAAAGGGGAAAAAAAAATCAAAAGGGGGTTAATAATTCTGTCTTAAACTGTATATATGTATGTATATATATACATACATATATACATATATAACACATACACACATTTATGGTTAGGGTTATAAGGATTATTTCTTAATCCCCCTTTTATGTTAGCAAAAACATAAGTTTACTTCAGATATTTCTTTCAAAACAATATTCTGTGCCGCAAAAGAGCCTTCTCCTCACTTGTGATAATGACAATGAAAGCCAAGCTTTTGGCCTATGCTGTACCAAAAAAAAATAAAATCACCCAGGTGATGACAACTAAATATTACGATTATAACATTGTGTTAGTGGCCAGTGGGGTGGAACAACGTCATTGGTCAGAATTAACCACGTGATGAAGACGGCCTATAATATTGTATTTAATGCGATTTTCTTCCTGTAAACTGTATATAACTATATAACTATAACTATATATATAATGCTGCAAATTACTGTAAATTGATTGTACTCTATATTAACTGCAAAAATTATAAGACTGGTTAAATAAAAGACAAATTAACTAAATGCATGTGCTATTGTTTCATTAGTATTTTAATTTAATATTTTTCTTTATATGATGTTTATTATAATGTAATTTTGTTCAGATTATAATATATACTATAAATACTAACTATACTATAGTGATCTGCATTAAACAACCTGAACAAATCAGTCCTCTCTCTCTCTCTCTCTCTCTCTCTCTCTCTCTCTCTCTCTCGATTTGATCAAAAATGTAAATGAGGCCTTCCGATTAACAGTCCAGTGGACCCTTGCAACAGCCTAGAAACCACTCAGAACACCCTAGCAACTACCTAGGAATGCCTTAGCAACATCTTAGCAACCGCCTAGCAACCACTTCTCAACCGCTGTGCTTCCTGCCAACTGCCTTCGAGTCCCCGGCGCAGTCACGTTGGCTTTCTCAAGCCAACATCAAAGTTCGTCAACGAACTTTAGGTTCTAGTTAAAACTGTTATGTTTAAAAATGTGTTGAAGAAATCTCTCCGTTTGACAAAAATTGGGGACAAAAATATACAAGGGGGCTAATAATTCAGGAGGTCTAATAAATCTTAAACTGTATATGCACACATATATTATTGTAATGCATCCAATTAAAAAAATTTAATCAAAAGAGAGATATGTAAGGGGTATACTCATTTATGCTGTGGACTGTATATAAAAAAAGCTTTCAAACACTGACCTCCTGACATGCTGTGCAGTGGCCTTTTCCTATTTAACACCAAACTTCAAACATGGCTTTTGTTTGCCAGTGTTTTCCCCTCAGGACAAAGCTGAACTTAACGCTTCTTAAATATTCAAAAGTGATCACCAGAATGTCAACTATCTGAAGAGACCTTTGGTAAAAACAGAGCGTACACGACTTGACTTTGAAATCCACATATGCGAGACACTTTTAGAAAGAGGTGAAGTCTTGCGATCTCCACCCTTGTCCTGCTGTGACTGAGTGACCCAGCTGACATTCCGGCCACAGCGTTTATAAAAATCCCTTTGCTCTCTCCTGAACCCCGAACTTCTGTCCTGCCGTCACATGTGTATTTCTGGAGTGGACGGCAACTGTCCTTTGACGTTTGCACTTTATAAACACACGCTTTTGCTTTGGTAAAAGAAGTTTAGTCATTAAAGAGAAAAGTATGGAGGTTTAATTCAGCGCACAGTGATCCTCATGGGAGCTCAGCAGGTGGCTGATCATGAGACATTTGCTGCTCATGTGCAAGTCATGCTGAAGGCCTTCCATTCTCAAACTGGTAGCCATAGTGTAGCACAGAGGTAAAAATATAAGCTTCAAAATGTTTTAATTCAGATTTTTTAATATAATACAATTAATTTTTTTATTTATTTACCAAATGTTTGGCAATATTTTGCAAATTTTCTAATATACATTGCTAACCATTTAATTTTGTCAATTTTAAAGGTGATTTTCTTTAGATTCCAGATTTTAGTAGTTGTATTTTGGACAAATATTGTCCTTTTCTAACAAACTATTCTGCGATGAGAAGCTTATTTATACAGCAGAAACCTCAATTTTCAAAAAAGGTCACACATAAAATAATAATAATAATAATAATAATAATAATAATAATAATAATAATAATAAACAGCACCTCTGTGGTATAATTTTTAAAAAGAGAGTCTACAGTTTGCATGCAATGATGTATGAGAAACCCTCTAAGTAAAACAGATGATGTTGTGCAAGTGAATTATTTTGTAAGGTAAGATTTCAATCATTTTTGCTTTGATGAGATATTTGGTCTATAGGTTTATCTATTGATTGCAGAATTCTCAGAATAGCACTTTAATATTATTGTTAAATCCTAGGCTCACTGAGGTGCGTTTTCAGTCACCTTTAATCAAATATTGGCATAACTGTCTTTTTAAAAATAGATTGTGTGGTTTGTGTTGTTTTGTTAAGCTGCCTTTTGTACTATTGGACCTAGTGTCTGGAATAAAGATAATAATAATAATGATAATGATAATGATGATGATGATGATGATAATAATAATAATAATAATAATAGTATTATTAATAATAATAATAATAATAATAGTATTAATAATAATAATAATAATAATAATAATGATATTAATATTATTAATAATAGTAATGATAATAATATTAATAATAAATATAGCTGCAAGCAGCAATTAAGGGGCCAAGCACTATTGGCCATAAGGTGGCGCTGCTCCAGACATTTTTGAGTACTTTCAGGGCATGGGGTTGAAGATGCATACCATGTTTTGTAATGATATGTGAATGTGTTGGTAAAATATAGCATTTTTGGCCAAAAATCGAAATGGGCGACGCCCAAAATGGCTGACCTGTGAAAATCAGACATCATTCGACTTGGCATGCTCTGCCGGATGTAATGAGACCAGTTTCATGAGTTTCGGACGAAAGGTTGAGACGTTATAAGCCAAAAAGCAAGTTTTTAGTATCTCCGGACCACTAGGGGGCAGTGCGCCGAAACTCCGCAATTAACCTTAGACTATAGTTGTCATAACACACACCAAGTTTGGTGTGAATCGGTGAATGCGTTAGGGAGATATCGCCTCATGTCCATTTTCGCAAGTTCTACGTTAAATTAGTTCGCAAGTTAAACGAAAACGGTTGGTCTAATCAACTTGAATTCCATAACTTTTGGTTGGCATGGTCTGTAGATCATGTGATTCAATTTTGGTGAAAATCAGAGACACGGCCTAGGACGAGTTCGATCAAATAGGTTTTTCGAAAAATTTAAAATAGCGCGAAAAAATTCATGACGGAAAATGACGTCATAGGGTGCGTTTGAATCGGACTGAGCCAAGGAATCAGAGGAAAAAAGAATTTTGATTGTAGCCCTTTCGGTTCAAAAGTTATCATGATAAACATATGTGAAAGTTTGGACAAGTGGTGGCGCTAGAGAGTTTGATTTTGAGACTTCATATTTGGCCTGATTAATGTTAATACTGGCCTCTATCATTGTGCCAAATTATACAACTTTCCCGCATACGCCTATATGGGCTGCCATTCAAATCTGGCGGAAGAAACGGAAGAAGAAGAAGAAGAATAATAATAATAATAATAATAATAAGAACACTAACGAAAGCAATAGGTGCCTACGCACCTACGGTGCTTGGCCCCTAATAATTATAATAATAATAATTATTATTATTATTATTGTTATTATTATTACGATGATGATGATGATAATAATAATAATGATGATGATGATAATAATAATAGTAATAATAATAATAATGATGATGATGATGATAATAATAATGATGATGATGATGATGATAATAATGATAATAATAATTATGATGATGATGATAATAATAGTAATAATAATAATGATGATGATGATGATAATAATAATGATAATAATAATAATGATGATGATGATGATGATCATCATCATCCTCAAGTATTTTGTCTTATATTACTTCCATGTAACTTTTGACGTTCTTTACAACAAAATGAGAATTATTTTGCTTCAGTTATTCTACTCAATTATTAAGCTGATAATGTACAGTAATATGCAGTAGCAAATTTATAATTATAAACATCAAACATTTATAGTAAAAAAAATAAAGCTATTTGATAGTTTTACTTAAACCTTAAAGCAAAATTGTTCTTCTATAGACTAAAGTTTTGATGTAATAAATAAATAAATGGCAGCAAGATGTACATGCCAAAAAGATACGTTTGTTGTTTGTTCAAGCTACTTATTTAAAATGAGCTGAATCAACACAATTCTTTGATTTGAGCTTTTTGGTGGACAACTAAAAAGTTTTATGTTCAATCCACCCAAGTGTATTTTTATGAAAAGAGGCCATGCTAGATAGATAGATAGATAGATAGATAGATAGATAGATAGATAGATAGATCGATCGATCGATCGATCGATCGATCGATCGATCGATCGATCGATCGATAGATAGATAGATAGATAGATAGATAGATAGATAGATAGATAGATAGATAGATAGATAGATAGATAGATAGATAGATAGATAGATAGATAGATAGATAGATAGATAGATAGATAGATAGATAGATAGATAGATAGATAGATAGATAGATAGATAGATAGATAGATAGATAGATAGATAGATAGATAGATAGATAGATAGATAGATAGATAGATAGATCGATCGATCGATCGATCGATCGATCGATAGATAGATAGATAGATAGATAGATAGATAGATAGATAGATAGATAGATAGATAGATAGATGGATTTGTCTTTCCTCACCTGACACCTCTACAAAGCCGTCTTTAGTTTTGACATTAAGCTCTTCGGGCTTGAAGCTGTGCACGTTTACGCACACTTTCCACGGCTCGTCCGAGTCGGTCGGGGGCGCGGTGGCTCGTCGTGGGCTCTCGGTGTACACAGAGCTGAAGCCCTGCGGGGAGCTCATACTCGCCCGCGGGAAGCCCGAGCGCAAAGAGCCTGTCCAAGGGGCGTCCAGGCGGTGGCTCAGGCGAGGCCGAGCCCACCCGGGCCAATCCATGGACAACTCATTGGGAAAGGGTGGAAGTCCAAAGTCATCGTCCATAAACCGAGACGCAAGCGACTGTTCTCGGAACGGATCCCGCGGAATCCTCTGTCGGTTTCCCAAAGTATAATAATCCCCCTCTGCCATTGTAAAACTCTGGATAAAGTGTGTTTGGCGAACTTTTATTACTTAAAGCGTCGAGTTAATGTCAGGTATATGAATAAAAGCTCTTTAAAAACTTAAACTAACCTGTTTCTCCAAGATAAAGTTTAAAAGAATTTCGCCTCAGATCTCCAGGCGCGTGATTACGCATCTAAGTTCACGCGCACCACCTGCTCTAAAGTGGACTTCAGGAAGTTTTCTGGCGTCGCTAGCGCTCTTTCAACTGGGTTATATGTGATTTAGTGGTCTACAAGGTCCCAGAAAGTGCTCGGCGACACGCGACAGCTGACTGAAGACCCTCCCAGCCCAAGTTTAGACCCTGGGCTGTGAGTGGCTCCGCCGGACAGCGACCGGGTCCAGTCGCTCCCTCCCCCAAATGACTCATTCACTTCATAATAGAAAACTACTCCCTCCAGAAGGCCGAGAGCAGAGTCACACACTCATATGAGGAGCAGCAATAATACTCTAAACGCGAGATGTGACGGAACACAGTGCACACACGCGGATCTTCTTCGGATGACTGAATGAGCTCGTCATGTTAAGGAATGTGATGAGCGAAGAAAAACATGAAGCTAATTATATCTTAGGAAGTCTTCTGGCCAAAATATACAGAGGCCAAAAAGCCTCATGGATGAGATATAAACAACATTTCTAAAAACAACATTGAGTTTAGGTGAACAAAACTTATGAGGTGTTTTAAAGATCTTCATAATACACATCATTCATTCATTCATTCATGTGATTTATTGAATTGATAATAAAAAGTAACATTTCACAATCAGGAGGATATTTATTTACGTTCAGATAAGTATGTGGAACCATGTCAAAACACTTCAGTTATATCAGTGTCAAAAACGTTTGTTATTTTGGTCCCACTTTATATTAAGTGTCCTTAACTACTATGTACTTGCTTCAAAAAAGAAATACAATGTACTTACTGTGTTTATGATGTATTTAAGAACACTTGTGGTGCTTTTGACTTCGTATAGAGGTTGGGTTATGGACAGGTTTTGTGGCATGGGTAGGTTTAAGGGTGGGTAAGGTGTAAGGGATGGTCAAGTGTATTTACAAATGTAACTACAAAAGTTAATTACAGATGTAATTACATACATGTATTTAATCAAGCATAAGTACACAGTAAATACATGTATTTACACAATAAGTACATTGTAATAAACGATTAATTCCTGTTTAAGTACATATTAGTTAAGGGCACTTAATATAAAGTGGGACCGTAATTTTTTCTTTTCCTTCATTTTACGCTTCTCCTAGATACTTTTGAATCTGAATTTTGTTGATAAACATGTACATATTAAACTATTGCAGAATGTACACTGCATTTTTCATCTAAAGTAAACAACAGAGCAATAATTATGTAGTTTTGATGTTTCTTTTTGTTGCAAATAAATACGTAGACTTCATAAATTTGATCAGTTTTTAACAACAGTGAGTTTTAAAGTCAAAGGAATGTGATTTGATGCAGACACCAAAATGCCTGACACATATATGTGACTTTGGACCACAAAACCAGTCATAAGACTGTACTTTTAAGTACATTTTAATTAAAGTAATCTGAATAAGATTAACTAATTTTTTTCATTAATGTATGGTTTGTTGTGATTGGATAATAATTGGCCAAGATAATACTCTCTTAAAATCTGCAATCTAAGGGTCAATAAACATCTATAAATAATTTGTAAAATTGTGTAGATTAAGTTATTAGCAGTGGATATTACTAATCAAAAAATTAAGTTTTAATATATCTACAGTATGACATTTACAAAATATCTTCACAAAACATTATCGTTATTTAATATAAAAGTTTTAAGTCATCAATTTTAAACCACATTTTTTTTTTTTTTTTTTGTGTGTGGCTATTTTTACAAATATTCTCGTTCAACATGACTGACAAGACTAGTTTTGTGCTCTAGGATTATATAGTGGAAGACCCCAACAAAGACACAACAGTAGTTTGTAAACACTCACCGGCCACATTATTAGGTACACCTGCCCAACTGCTCGTTAACACAAATTTCTAATCAGCCAATCACATGGCAGCACCTCAATAAATTGAGGCATGTAGACAAGGTCAAGGCATCAGAAGGGGGAAGAAAGGGAATTTAAGTGACTGACCGTGCTTTGGTTGTTGGCGCCAGACGGGCTGGTCTGACTATTTCAGAAACTGCTGAGCTACAGGGATTTTTCATGCGCTGGTTTCTTGAACATGACAATGAGTTCACTGTACTCAAATGGCCTCCACAGTCACAAGATCTCAATCCAATAGAGCACCTTAGGGATGTGGTGGAATGGGGGATTCACATCATGGATGTGCAGCCGAAAAATCTGCAGCAACTGCGTGATGCTACTATGTCAATATGGACCAAAATATTTCCAGTATCTTGTTGAATCTATTCCAAAAAGGATTACGGCAGTTCTGAAGGCAATAGGAGGTTCAACTCGGTACTAGTAAGGTGTGATAAAATGGTAGATGAGTGTACTTTAAACACAAATGAACATTTCAGTTTCAATTGATAATATGACTACTAATAATAGGCCTTTCCTGTTGATTGAGTCACATAAAAAAAAATAAAGTACTTCATATTAGTTTACCGACCCCCCCACCTCAACCACACACCCCAAATCACAAAAACAAGGAGATAAAAAAATAAATAAGCCAAATGTTAGGTGAATAATTTATTTAGAACTCTTTGAATATCATTACAGATTGAGACCACAGAGAACTAGAGCAAGGGAGACACTCATATCCTTGTGCACATAGACAACATTGTATATACATTGTAGAATAGGAGATCATGGGGAACGCTCTTCCAGCCTGCGTCTTGCATTAAAACGCTAAAACAAAGACACGCGAGCATTTTATCCGCTCATTCTGTGCAAAACTAAATCTGTTACTGCTATTACAGGATATTGCAATCACAGAAGCTGATAGCAAACTCTGTAGCATGTTCTGACTTTAATTTCGTCAAATAGCCTAAATTCATGGCAACATTTCAGCACGTTTGGCTTTTACAGGGAATGCAAATGAGAAAGCCAGCCTTGTAAACAGTCAGTACCGCTACTCCATCTCAATACATAAAGCCCATGCCTAACATTGCCGCACTAAACGTTTGCATATTTACACGACAGATTTACATAATCACTCGTTTACGCTTCGAGATGAGAGCACAAGATGAATTCCAGAAGATGAAACATTTCGCGAAACGCTTTAAGTTTTTCCCCGTGTCAATCTACGGCTAATTATCTGTACAAGAGTCAGGATTCACAACAGTCAGACAGCTAATAATGTACAGTGCATAGAGATCACCATGCCTTCCATTAACAAGCACTCAGATAGACTTGATGACACGGAAACAAAGAAACTGCCACCATCCGTCGTGATGAAGGTGAGGATTTTTACACGGCGTTTCATCAAGCTGCATCGCACCCCAAATAGAAAACTTTGATCATTCCAAACAAAAGTCCTTGATCTCGCCACTTTGACTGATTTCTTTTGACAGCCGTCTTCATTTCTTCCAGTCTGTAACAGTTTCTCTGTTGTTGCTTTGACGTGCAACCATATGCATTTTTAAACATTCGCATTTTTAAATATCACCATCATTTATGCTGAAGTATGATTTAAACTAGCGCAGGGCTGATTTTTAAAGTGCTTCTATTATGCTCTTTTGTATATACAGTAGTCAACATTTGAAGTGGATGAAAAACCAGTACTGTATTACTGACTTTCTAAATAATTTATAATCAAATTAAATCAACAAAATTTCTTTTGACACAACAAAGATGGCAAAGAAAAAAAAGAAAGCATTTAGATAAATGAACAGTTTATTTGTAAATTGACTGTTTAACGAGATGAAGGAGGTGGCATAACTGCAATGAAATTAATAATAGAAATGCCATGAGATTTAAAACTAAAACCGCCAGTAGGTGGAGTCAAGTCTCCATCTCTGTCATTAGCTATGTTTCCATCCAAAAATGCGAATAAACTTTATGCGCAAAACTGGATTATCGCGACTATCGCAAGTTGTGCGAATGAAGCATCGTTTCCATCCAACGAGTCAAAGCGAACAAAATGGTCACATTTGCAAAATGCACATAAAATAGGTGGATGGAAACATAGCTATTAAATAATTTAATTTAGTTGTTCCAACAGCTGATTCATTCACAAATGTCTTTTTGAATGGATGAATGAAGACCATTATGGAAAATTACCGGCAATGTCTGTATGTGTGAGCAGACCTTTTTGAAAATACTATTAAATTCGTTTAGGCAATTTTCCGGAAAGAGATGTTGTAACATTACCAGTAATTTGCCAGAATGCTGCGCTGTGTGGATGCAGAAGGAAAATTGCCAGAAAGAGTGTGTTCAAGTCTAGAACGAGCTGACGTGAGACGTCTACTTTAGCCAATCAGAACACTCAGACGCATTCACATCTGCGCGGTTTCTGAAAATATAAGCCTTTGAATATTTTTCCAGACACATTAAGCTGCTAGTTGTTATGCTGCGTTCACGCCAGATGAGGAAGAAACGCCAAGCGCGAGTTATTTACATGTTACATCGATGCAAAGATGCGAATAGACATCCTGCGGTGCAATACAAGCGAACGTCGCGGCACGAATAGAGCGTTTTGTACGTCTGAACTTCAGCAGACATTTGCATAGCCTTAACCAATCAGCAGCTTTCTCTTGTAGGGGCTTGCTTATGACATAGCGCCTGTTATTGGTGTCCAAGAGAGTAATCTTCCAGTCGACACCGGACAACAGTTCATCAAACTGGGCTTGGCTCAGTCGGAAGCACTGCTGAAAGCCTCCACCATCTAGGTTAATTTCTGGAGGAGTTTATGAGCTCATAGAGCTTGGTGCACCTCTGAAAGGATTTAGTGGACTCAGACACTGCTCCAAATGAATCAACGCTGTTTTTCAGCCTTCATAAAGCACATAAACACAGCTATTGTCTCAATAAAATCCGTGTTAGCCATTTAGCAACGAAGCTACATTCACCGGGCAGACAGAAGCCCTGCTCATTGCACGAATACGGGTTTGTTCTGAAGTGAATTTGACGTGCGAGTAAAGCGGATTTGAAAGCATTATGATCCGAACCAGGCTATATCAAAGTATATTATGGATATAAAATAGGCATATACGGCTATATGAAGGAAGAATTTTGAAA